CCAAGAGAACTAAGACAGCTGCACACGGGTCAACTACAACCCCAATCCCAGGGATAGTCTGCCGAGCTAGAAACGAAGGGAGACTACTTGGGCCTCCAAATAGCAAAGCCTAAGTGGTGAGAAAAGTAGAAAACCAGTCACTACGAAATATTTATAACTCAACGCATAAATTGGAAACAGGTATTAAGTTGAACTTAAGTGTTGCTTGAAATGCATCACATATCTTCTTGAAAAAGATATACGCTAATTTGGATTTTGGTGGCAAATTCGAACACGAAAAGAGATTTATCGGCAAACTAGTTAAGGACAGTTACAAAGAAAATCTAAATGGAGGAAGCTCGCCATAAAATTTTAAAACCTCCCAAATGGTAAGGAGTTCATTCTATGCCAGTCAGGGAATAACAATCTTCCATGTTCGAGTCCAAGTGTCATTATCGGCAAAACAAAACCATGGTGATCAAGATTAAAGGACTTACAGATGAAAATGAAAGAAAATCGATAGAAAACAGTGACAGATTTACACAAGCTATGGAATGCATATAATGAGAAATTGTCGTATTATAGAATGAGAAGTTGAGAACCATTCAATCATAGGCTCAATATATCTCATTGTATCAGTTACCATTCGTAGCAACACGCCTTCAGCTAGAAGCAAAACTATTCCAAACTACAAAACTTGAGAGAGACCAGTTAATCTTTTCTTTTAAAGAACTAGTAAAGCCAATTCATTTGGTTAAGTGATACTTTGATCATTCATCATAAATCATGAAACACTCACAAAAGTTGATAAAAATTATAAAACTGAGAATGAAGCGTACCAGATTAGGGGACATGCCACGAGCAACAGCTGAACCTCCTATAGTATATTCCAAGATCAAAGCCCACCCAATCAACCACGCAACTCTGCGTAAAACAACGGAATTAACATTTATATTGATTTCGCTGGAAGTCCGAAAAACATTAAGCAGATTTCTTAAGACAGTCCTTCCAATTAGATAGAGGATAACATGTGGGAGACAAACTCTGTACTTCCCACCGCAAAATTCTAAAGGGAAGTTATCTACAATTGATATGATACCAAGAAAGACATGTTTACGAAATGTCTGTGTAAGAAAATGAAAAGCAAAAATAACACAAAATAACAAAAATGGGAAATAAAAAAAGAAATTTAAAATAGCACAATTTGTTTCCATACCATGAAAGGGTGTCAAATAGAAGAAATTACATCAATTCATTATGTTAAAACTCAGGATGTTTAGAATCAGAAATTTCTTTACAGAGTACAAAACTTCAGATAATTTTCGAGAACTTAATTTTTTTGTCTTTTTTTTAGACACCACCACCAACAGCAGAGACAGCTAAGTTTCCAAAGTATAAAACAAAGATAATTCTTATGCGAGCATTAATAATTTGAACAAAATAGCTAGCATTTATTTTTCTTAAATAGAATAAACTTAAGAAAATCATAGTAACTAATCAATTTCTATAACAAAAATTACCCCTCGCCAACACATATGTAAGAATAATGATAGGCACTTCCAGCTGAAGGGCAACGACTGGCTAGCTCGGCATAGCAGAAGGCAGAAAGAGCAGCTGCTATTCCAGCTATCAGAAAGGAAAAGGTTAAGGCGGGACCAGAATGCTCTCTTGCAACAGTACCAACAAGAATGTAAACTCCAGCTCCAATTGTT